CGGGGGTCATAGGCCTGTGTCCCTGAACCCCCCCCCCCTGCTCTAAGAGTCGTGTATGTGTGTGTGTGTGTGTGTGTGTGTGTGTGTGTGTGTGTGTGTGTATCTATGTGTGCCCCCGTGTGGGCCTCACCGTGATTGCACTTGGATACACTTTTTGGAGTACTGCCCTCAGGGCCGTGATTGCAGTTGGATACACTTTGTGTGTGTGCCCCCGTCTTTCGCCGTGATTGCAGTTGGATACACTTTTTAGAGTACTGCCCTCAGGGCCTCGCCGCACGACACACGAAACGAAAATTAAGCGTGCATCTGCCCACGAAAGGTGGAAAATTACACTCGTTACTATGTATAGCAAACTGACGAACCTGGCCATTTTTTGTCGGAAGATGCACTCATTTCGTTTTTCGTTTCATGCGTCATGCGGCGACGCCCTTAGTGAGGGCACTTTGGCAGAACGAGGAACAGGGGGCGCACGACTGTCAGACTCACCAAATAAGAACAAAAAACAAAAAGACCCCCAAAAAGAAAAGAAGCTTTGGCCGTGAGGGCACTTTGGCAGAACGAGGAACATGGGGAGCACGACTGTCATACTCACCAAATAAGAACAAAAAACAAAAAAGCCCCAAAAAAGAAAACAAGCTTTGGCCGTGATTGAAGTTGGATACACTTTTTGGAGTACTGCCCTCAGTGAGGGCACTTTGGCAGAACGAGGAACACGGGGAGCCAGGATAAAAAAAGAAAAAACAGCAATGTTTTCCTCTCCCCGTAATAGTGGTCAGATGCATTCTGGAAAGTGATCGTTTGAGTATGGCCTCTGTGACGTCCTTCCACGACATCAGGTAGGAAAGTCCATGACACACACACACACACACACACACACACACACACACACACACACACACACACCAGCACACACACACACACCAGCACACACACACACCAGCGCTCCCCAGGCCCCCCCCAGGCCCCTCCAACACCCTTCTAGCGACCGGTACCGGCCCAGACGAACCCCGTTCGCAGGCATCGAAAACACGTTCTCGCGAACGTGTTCTCGACCTGTTCGCGCGAACGGGAGAACGTGTTCGCCTGAACGGGAAGGGCCGCGAACACGTTTGCCGTTCTACGCTGTCGGATATAAAGTTGTTCTTCCATCTCTTACCGGCCATGTCCTTCCAATAGTGGCAATAGTTTGCCTCTTGCAGGAATCCGACATGGTCTACAACTATTTTGTTGAACTTTTCATAAGTCGTCCCTCCTTAGTACGGAGATATAACTGGGTCTTCAGGGGCTTTGGCAACGCTCCAGCGAAGTTATTAAGTATCTGGGCGAGGTTCAGTCCATGATTAGGACATTGCAGCCCCTCGTCCATAGTGGCCTTGAGTGTCGATACACTCTTCCATTTGCGGTCACTAATATTAAGGATGAGGTGCTCGGTACGGCGAAATGGCGAAGCTAGTTGCGCCTACCCAAGGTATGAAGTTGCCATTAGCACGAGGTCCCAATATGGAATCAACTGCACGTACAAATACGTGTCCATCGCCGTCTCCCAATGAAAAATGATCTCCTCCCTCTTCTGAGTGTACGTCCAAGGGACCTTAACTTTCATCTTCTCTCGGCGTTCTCCTCCCTCATACTTGTCCCCGTCACCTTTCTTTACATCTCCCTTTCTGGGACCCTTTCCTTCCTTATCACCATCCCCATCATCTCCACCATCGCCGCCGCCTCTTTTTTTTCCAACTTCGTTTTTTTTTTCTTCCTCCTCCCTTCTCATCTCCTCAATTTTTGTTTCTTCTCCATCTTCTTTCTTTCCTTTTCCTTCCTCCTCCTTCCTCTCCTTCTCCTCTTTTTCTTTTTTCTTCTCAGCCAGCTTCCTATCGATTTTTGCCTGATCTGCAGTGGTGTTTGGCTCTATGGCCCTACCAGATCTCAAGGTCACGCCCATACTAATGTCCGATGAAAGCCAAGAGGAAACAAGAAGCGGAGGAGTGAACGCAATAGCACAGACAGGGTCAAGAATGCAAACATTGGTAGTCGTCCATGGTGATCGAATGCACCGGAAGTACCCTCCACCTCCTCACCACATAGACCTAGCCCTCGACACTTACCCTAACTTAATCTAGATTGGAGTCCGATCTGCCCGAGTTCTTCCCCCCCACAACGTCATTAGAGCTACCCTATCAGGCTGGTGGGCAACCAGCAGATTAAGGTCAGCCAACAAGGACCTTAGGAATTCCTTAACGACGCAGACAGGACGTCGTGCCCATCAGGATCTGAAGGTTTGCTCTCAAGACTTAAAGCTCCTCATTGCACCAGCTTTGGTTTGGTCGCATGCCGGTCAGTATTGGTCTTAGGGTGGTGAGTTTTTTTACGAGTGCTCGCCCCTCATGCCCATGCTTCCTACTTACTGGTGAGTCATCCACTTGTCGAGCTTCTATCCTAGACGCGACCTACTTCATGCACGTTTGTCTGACCAGATGCTGACTTAAACAAAATCAGATATGTCACCAAGTGTTTTGTCCAACAACAGTGACACCAAGATGTGGGAAGGTACACATGACACTCATTCATCCATAAAAGCAAATGTAGGGCTTATGGGGGCGATGCACTTCGCTTGTGAACGTTCCTTTGATGAAACTCCACGAATTCACTCCACGCATGCAGGTACATACTCAACATCCCCTACTCTAACTACTTCTTCGGCCTCCAACCCCACTGTCAAACTCTCATCTTACCGGCCTTAGTCTTGCCAGCGATCACCAAGAGCGGATGCAGCGAGTACCAGCTCCGGTACCAATTTGAGCCACACTGCTCGTCACCTTTGTCACACACACATTGAGAGGTCACACAAAATCCACACTGGAGACCAGAGATGCCAAGTTCATATTAGCACAACTTAGAAATTCCAACGAATTGTCATATTAAACTGTTCTCGAGTTCCAGTCACCAAGTGCTCTACAGCGCAGAGTTCAGCAACCCAAATCCAGCATCCTCCTCTAAAAAGGTGACCTCCTCTCTCACTGTCTCACTCTTGCTTTCTCTTTCTCTCCCTTCATGCAAGTGTTGACTCCCTCCCCCCCTCTCTCTCTCTCTCTCTCTCTCTCTCTCTCTCTCTCTCTCTCTCTCTCTCTATATCTCTCTCTCTCTCTCTCTCTCTCTCTCTCTTTGCATGAAGATCTTGACTCTGGATACATCCACTATACTCAGCTCTACCTCCTCCTACTAGCTGTGCGGCTATGGCCGCCTTCCGTCCTCCGCACAATGCTGCGCAGCCAAGGCTTTAGTGCATGCTACTCACAGATAGCGCACAAGCGCCCAGCAACACTTCCACACTTCTTGCGAATGAGCAATCTGTTCGAAATGTGGCTGGCCTATTCCTATATTGACTTGGACTGAGCCATGACTCGTCCCCAACCTCTGCTTCTCTTGGTTCGACTTGGACCTGGTACCTCCTGCCTGTGGCTTGCCTTCATGAGTTTCCCTTGGTGTGCTGCTGCTTTTAGGTCTGTGGAACGTGACCTTTGACTATGAGTCGTGACCCTTGCCTATGGGTTTTGACCTCTGACTGTGAGACGTGACTTTTGCCTCTGGGGTGTGACTGTTGACCAGGGTGCCTGTTGGACTTTACCTCTGGGGTACCCAACGTAACCTTTTTGAAATTGGCCGACCTGGCCTTTTTTGGCTCGGGGACTTTCACCCTGAGATTCGAACGTGGGATCTGCATCGTGAAATGCCTTCCACTCGTTGCAAAAGGATACAAAAATCACCCCCTTCACTCACAGTTGTTCCCGTCAAACATCAATGGTTCAGCCTTCGCTCAGGGCTCTTTTCACTTGTTGTTGCCCCTAAGTTGAGCAATTTGAGAATTATCAAATAAATAGGTAATCACAAACATTCGAAAAGAAAAGGGATTCTCCGCTCATGTTGTTCACTCAATGTTCGGTGATTCGGAAATCAAGTGCAGACTTTGTTACAAGATTTCACTAATTACTGCAGCTAGAGGAGTCGTTATAATTGTTTTGTGATTGGGCAATCAAGTGCAGACCGAGTCACGAGATTTCACTAATTGCTGCAGCCAGAGGATCTGTTATGATCCATACATGCGGCGCATGACGTGCACGCAAGTTGCACACGTGCACGAAGTTGCATACGCTGTCGCACGTTTTTGGCCAGGCCACTTTTGGCGATCGAAAAGCCAACAGGCTGTCACGCAAGATTTTTTATGATTTTTACAACAAATAAATAATAAATAATGCAAATCCCTTCTTGTTGTGTGCATCCGACTTCATGTGAGACCCTTCAATTACGGTCTACACCGGACCCTGGTCTTTGGAACCTAGGTATTAGCTACAACTTGTATTCATTCAGTCATTTCATTTCGGTTGAATTCTAGGACCTCCTTTCTAAACATTGTTACTTTTTAATTCAGTCTTTTAGGTACTTTTTTTGTTCGTTCGGGATTACTTGCATCTAGTTCGGAACAACAATGATGATGCAAATAATACAATTAAAATTGAATATATCATATGCATATCAGAATTGCCAATTTAGGAATTTGATAACCGTGACAAAATCAGCAAAGCATAAACATCAAGCAATGCCAACGATGACCAATCAAGGCAGAAACAAGATGAAAGAGGGAAGGTGAGAATTTGTAATAATCTCAGAGAGTGCAGATGAAAAGACATGGCCAGCATCCGTCAAGAGTCCTCACTCATCCCTCTCAGGTCTCATTCTCAGTCTCTCTTTTTACCGTTCGTCTCGAGCGCATTGAGCCACGTCTATGTACTTCCCGAGATTGTGGCCTAGCTATATAGAGCGACCTAAAGCCCATGAGTTCCAAATAAAACCATCCAAGGCCAGTGTATCTTTTTAACGGAGAACGGGCGAAATTCAACGCCCGTTCATCCGTTTAACGGGCCCCTGGCCCCCCGTTAAATCGCGTTTAACGCAAAAACGGGGGCTTCGCGTCGAATTCCGAAAAATGGAATTCGCGCGTTGGGCCTCGGACACGTGTGCCTACGTGCCTGAACACTCAAACCAGAAAAAAAAAAAAAAAAAAATTCACCCCCCATTGACACGCCCCCCAAAACACCCCAAAAGGATCGAAAAACCCCTATCTGACCCCGAACACACCAC